CTGTTGTTCAGCATCTTAGCTGTGGAGGGCAGTGTCACTGGCCCTCATATGTGGGATCCGAACCGGGGCCCTCTGGTGTCCCAAGCGAGTTCTTAACCATCGCGCCACTCGGCCGGCCCCACAAATTCTATTAATTCTTAAAGTCTTGAAGAGTAAATTTGAAGTGTTGCTTCCATCTTCATAAAAAGAGCTCCTTGTTTCTCATTTATGATTTTATATTTCATGAGAATAATATTTATTAGCTTTTTCTCACACTCTCAAGTTCAATTATGCCATACCATTGTTGTATATATATCCTGAATATTATTATGTAGCAGATTTGATTTGGCACTTCTTAAAGACATTGTGGTCCAGAAAAAAGAACAATTTCTTCAGCAATAAAGCAGTGTAATAATATTTTCTAAGGTTGTTGTGAAGTTAAATGATGGTATATCTGTAATACGTCCCGTGTGTAAGTAGTTGGTCAATAAATAATGTTATCACCATTTTTATGATTATCTCAAGGTAGTTCTTATGTATTTTTTTCTCTCCATAGCTAGATTTTTTTATAAAAATGGAAAAATACGAGTAAAATATTCTTTTAAAGGAAAAAATTATAAAGTATAGAAAATTAGAATGTTTCCCCTTCTTCCCCAGACCCACAGTTCAGAGATAACCACAGACAGATGAGTACATAAATGTTTGTACATTGTTCAGTTCTTTTCCTACTGCTTTCCTTCCCCCTAAATTTTAGCAATTATTCTTTGTTAGTTCTTTAGGATTAATGATCTAAATTTCCAGGGCAGAGACTGTATCTTATAGTGGTATATGATGTCATGTTCTATGCATATTAGATTCTTAAAGATGCCAGCTAATTGTTAAGGATTGATAAATATTCTTATTTATTCATTATAAGACTAAAAGGTATTTCTCCATGGAAGTCTAGAAAGAGGTTTTCAAAAGCTAAGCATTATAAGGTATGAATAAATGAAAGACTTTTAATTGGAAATACACCACCAACCACAAATATGTAGTTTGTATATATAGACAGATAAATCGTCAGTCTAAGCTAGGTTTATTTTGAGGAATGATTTGGGTATTATGACTTCCTGGTTGTTTAAGAAAGAATCTTTCTAATATTAGCAATATTTATTAATAAAATTGGTTTTGAAGAAAGACTCTTCAAATAAACTTACTAACCAAATATAACTTTGTGAAACTTATGTTTGCAGCTGAACTTGGTGACTATGATCTTGCTGAGCATAGTCCTGAACTTGTATCTGAGTTCAGGTTCATGCCCATTCAGACTGAAGAGATGGAGCTGGCTATTTTTGAGAAATGGAAGGAATACAGGTACATGACATTTGATCACACTTCCTTTAACATCACCACAATAGTGATCTCATATTTGTTTTTTTCTATTTCTATACTTGGTATAGAATTCATTTTACATATATTATTGTTTTTAAAATTATTATCTTTTATTTCAGAGGTCAGACACCAGCACAAGCTGAAACCAATTATCTGAATAAAGCCAAATGGCTAGAAATGTATGGGGTTGATATGCATGTGGTCAAGGTAAGGACTGTGTTGTGATGCTTTTAAAAAAATTTATTCCTTCAAGATTCGAGGTGACTATGGAATTTTTCAATATGAGAAAGGCCATGGAGTTTGCATGGGCTAGCAGTGGGTACTTTAGATATGTGAGTCTCACATAAACGTTGATTATAAGAAAGAAGAGAAACAACCAAAATCTCCAAAAGGTATGTCTTTTCTTTTAAGCTGTTTTTTGTTTGTTTGTTTGTTTTTAGTTTTTTTAACCACTTTTTATCCTTTCATTTCATATTCATATCATTGTATATATCATGTAAGCTGAGTATGCTCTATAAAAATTAAAATAATTTAGGAAGCAAAATTGAAAATTTGTAACTTAAAATTACTTGGTAAGCTGTGTTATAACTTGTATAGTGATTTAAGTTACATCTAGTTTAAGTAGCTGAATTTTCCTAGAAAGGCAGTTTTTTTTTTTTAATTTGTGATTTAAGTGGTGAATACAATAAGGGAAGAATGTGGAAAGAGCTTTGTAGTGGGAGCGTAACTTTTCAATAAAGACATGCTTCAACACTACAGTGTTGCTGCAAACTAAATGTATACATGAATATCCGTGAGAATGTTATTTTGGATACTGTAATTGTTAAAAACACACTGCATACTAATATTACCTGTATATAATTAATATAATTCAATGTAAAAACAGTTGCATGAAAACAGTTGCATGAAAATGTGAAACCTGTTTTATGCAAATAAAGCTAACACATTTTGCTTTCCTTAAATTAGGCTAGAGATGGAAATGACTATAGCTTGGGACTAACCCCAACAGGAGTCCTTGTTTTTGAAGGAGAGACCAAAATTGGCTTATTTTTTTGGTAAGCAGAGTTAGTGTCAAATATACCTATTGTTTTGGTTTTTTTAATGTGTAGAAAACTTTATATAACTTCATTTATATGAAGTTAGTACATAAAATAGAATTTGGAAATCAAATATTCTGAAAAGCTCATAAATGAATTGGAACTGTCTCCGGTCACACTCCTACCCATCTTTAGTTCCACTCCCCACAGGCAACTTTTAAAACTCTTCTATCCATATTTTCCATTAGTTTCAAGTTATTTCAAAATACATGTTTTATATAAATATATGTTTCTATATGTATTAAATATTCACATGGGCACTTAATTCCTGTCATATAATTATGTTACAGTTTTTTAGTATTTCTTGTTCCACAATCTTTACTCCCTACTCCTTACTGTGTAAAATATTAATACTTTTACCCTTCCTTTTAAGCTATGCTTCTCTTTCTGTGTCCCAGCTTGTATCATCCAAACTTTTAAATTGTATTTGTGTTTTACATTTACATCAAGGCTAGATATCTTGCATTTTGTGACCATAATTAAGTTCTTCAGGTTTTGTCTGGTTGGTTCTAAAAGCTGAAAATCAGGAAATAGTGTTTATATTATTGTCTGTATCAGAACTGGTACAGACTTTAGTACTGTACTGGTATTAAAATACATGTGGGCTGAAGATGACCCCTGTCTGTTGGCCCCTATGTTGTTTACTTCCACAGCGTGCCAGGGCTATTAGCTCAAAGCCCACCAGTGCCAGACTGAAATTCTTAAACATCCAGTTGCTTTACATATAGCCCAGTAAGTATATTTTTAGCCATTAAGAACCTGTCTGGTTTGCATATGCCACTGCAAACTGCTAGCCATACATAAGACAAATCTTGTAGCTATAAAAGACTGCAAACCACTACTACCCTTTAGAGCTCTCTGACCCAGAGCCTCTCCCTTTGCTACTGAATGCCATCGCCTAGACACTTAAGCCCCCTGTCTCATTCCCCTCTCTCCTGGCACTTTTCTTTCCTGCCCTCTTCACCTTCTAGGTAGTGGTCCTGTGCCAGCTGTCTCTGGATGTTCTGCTATGAAGGACTTCTCTTCTGCAGCCCTGTTCAAACAACTCAGAGATCATTGTGCAGTGCTGCTCTCTCTCTTTTTCTTTATCTATATCTATATCTATATCTATATCTATATCTATATCTATATCTATGAGTATATACACATACGTGCATAAAATCAAGTAAGTACCTTAGAAAAGGGTGTAGGAGGTAAATTATTTGAATCCTTGGATGCCTTAAAATGGTACAGCTTCTCTTATGCTTTCTTGGTAATTGAGCTGAGGATGGAATTTTTTTTAGGTTTAAAATTATTTCCCCTTAAAAAGTTGAAGATAGTATTTCATTTGTTTTTGCATCCAGGTGTCCCTGCTAGGGACTCTCAGAGAAACTTGAGGGGAATACCTTTATAATTGGTCCCTTGATGGGTGAGGGAGCTGGAGTATTCATTTACCCAGGCCTTGAGTGTTAATTCTCTGACACTTCCAGCTTGCCCTGTGGGCAGATGGAATATGCTTCATGGCCAGAAAATGCTCTAGGCAGAGAGATAAAGAAAGCATCTTTTATACCACTTCATAAGGTGGTTGTGAGAATCAATTGAATTAATACATGTAAAACACTTAGAAGAGTACCTGACACTTAGTAGGCATTATGTAAGTATTTGTTACACTTAAATAAGTGCTTGATCTTCCCCCTCCTCCACCTATTACACTTATTTACTTAGCGTTTTAGTATAGCTCTGTAAACAAGTTATGTTTTACAATTATATTTTACGTAAGTTATATTTAAAAATTAGTGAGAGTTGAATTGTTTTGACATTTACAGTTAGAAATACAGAGTTCAAATGTGGAAGGTTGTTTAGGATTTCAGTACAGGTGGGAGATAGAATTGGAAAGTGGGCCACAAAGTGAGGTTTTAAAAAACATTTTTTTAATCATGTATTTCCTCAAACCGAAATTACTGTAGAAAATAGAGTTGAAGGCCCTAATCAATAATTTGTTTTCCTTTATGCATTTTAAAAGGCTTTGTAGTCTTTCCTGTATGCATTTCCTGTGCTGCTGCTTTGACACTAGGCCTGGAGAGTCTCATACCATAGTTGGGGGCCTATGAATATACGTCTATATGGATTTCTTCATTTTTTTCCCCCTTAAACATTCGTAATGCCTGGTAAATGTGCAGCATCAATTTTGGTAGTGGTATTGCTTTTGAAATGCTATTTTTCCCTGTTATCTTAACTATTGTTTTAGATTAGAGGCTTTTTTGATGGATGGTGCAGGTTATATTTGCTCTTTTACCAGTTTTCAATTCAGAAGTTAGATGATTAATATGCTTTAAGTAACAACAAATTGTTCTTTTTTAATTTAGAGGACATTTATTTCAAATCTGGCTATTATTCTCATATTGTTACAGGCCCAAGATAACCAGGTTGGATTTTAAGAAGAATAAATTAACCCTGGTGGTAGTAGAAGATGATGATCAGGTAGGAACTGTGTTGCATTACTTACTTAGCAGTGACTATGTTATGTGGTAAGCTAAGTGCCTAAAGGTGAGGGAGAATGGTCCTTGTTGTTTTATAGAGCCACAGAGCTTAGTATAATTAATGATTTAATTAAATAATTCCCCGCTTCAGGTCACATTATCCTAAACAAATGGGTTTTCTGCCCTTAAGATTAAAGACAATATAAAATTCTATTCTTGTTTCTTCATTGATAATATATCTTATTTGTATAAAAATTGCATTTCAGTGACTTTATCCCTTTAGTACCTGATCAAAAAGATTAATAAAAAAGATCTACCTAATAATATTTTTATTTTTTTATTTTTTTAAAAAGATTTTATTGGGGAATTAGGGGAGGGGAACAGACAAGTTGCTGTCCTTTTTGTTCTTCAGTCTATTTGTGGAGGATGTCGCTTCACTGGCCCATGTTGGTATTATCATTGCGCTCTTCCCTGGTGAGGCAGATCGGTCCGCGGCCACTGGATGGCTGGCCCTTGGCAGCTCACGCCAGCTGCCGGCCACTCACGCTGGCTGCCAGCCACTCAGGGTAGCTTACAGCAGCTGATTACAGCAGGGGCTGCAGCCTACGCCGTCACCGGCGACTCATGAGAGCCCAGCTCCAGGTGGAGCTGTTGTTCACCATCTTAGCTGTAGAGGGTGCAGCGTCACTGGCCCTGATGTGGGATCTGAACTGGGGCCCTGCTGCTCAGAGCTGGCGTCCAAAGCCAGCTCTTAACCAACGCGCCACTCGGCCGGCCCCCTAATAATATTTTTAAATAAAGCCTTCTAAACTAAGGATTACCTTTTTTTCAGTTAAACTGAGTTCCTTATTGATACACATGACAATATGGGTGCATCTCAAATGCATTAAGCTAAGTGAAAGAGTACAGACTCAAAAGATGGACATTTATATGACAGTCTGGGAAAGGGAAGTCTGTGGGAATGGAGAATAGATTGTTTGGGACTAGTTGGAGTGAAGAAGCACGACTACAAAGCAAGAGCACATGGAATTTTGGGGGATCGAGAGAACTCTTCTGTATCCTGATTTTAGTGATGGTTGCTATACTCCATGCATTTGTCAAAACTCAGAATTGTGAGTAAATAAAAATAAAGTAATTTTAGTGTGTGCAAAGAAATAAATTTTTAAAATACATAAAAATATAGATATAGATAAAAGCAAATTGGGCACAATGTTATATAAATATTTTTCTTTTTTATGTAAGCATATATGTGATTAAATGATACTTGTAATGTAAATGTAAAGGCCCTCCTTCCAGAAGAATAAAATATAATTCTATGATAAGAAAACATGGTCATAATTTAATTGGTAACACTTATTCTTATTGGACCATAAAATAATTGTGAATCTTAACAATTGATGGCAGTTTAGATTTTATCTAATTCAGTGTTAGCTTCTTGGATATCTTTTTGAAGGTATTTTATACATATATACAAGCAAATGTGTATATCAGTTTCTTTTTATGAAGAAGTTAGCATGCTTATGTGTTTTCTACTTATCTTTTTTTTAAAGATTTTATTGGGGAGTTGGGGAAGGGGAACAGTGCTGGGGAATTGGGGAAAGGGGAATAGACAAGTTGCTCTCCTTTTTGTTCTTCAGTCTATTTGTGGAGGATGTCGCTTCACTGGCCCATGTTGGTATTATCATTGCGCTCTTCCCGGATGAGGCAGATCGGTCGCCGGCCTCTGGACGGCTGTTCACTGCGGCTCTTGGCAGCTCACACTGGCTGCCAGCCACACACGGTAGCTTATGGCAGCCCACTGCAGCAGGGGCTGCAGCCTGCGCCGTTGCCGGTGACTCACGGCAGCCCAGCTCCAGGTCCAGCTGTTGTTCATCATCTTAGCTGTAGAGGGCAGTGTTGCTGGCCCTGATGTGGTATCCGAACTGGGGCCCTGCTGCTCAGAGCTGGCATCCCAAGCCAGCTCTTAACCAATGCGCCACTCGGCTGGCCCTCTACTTAACTTTTTTAACTTTACATTATAACTTGGGATCTTTTTCATTTCAGTACATATAGTGCTCTTTGTTTTAATTAAAAAAAAACCCCAAAACTGCATAGTTTTCTAGTGTATGGATGTACCCTAATTTATTGAATCAATTCTCAATTAATTGACATTTATTCACTTTATAGACATTAATTTGTGCATTGGCAAGTATCTATAGGATAATTTCTTGGAGGGGGACTTGCTTTTTCAGATGGTTATGTGCATTTGTCTTGGATATAGAGAGATCCTGTCAAGTTGTACAGTTCATCTGTGTACAAACCTGTTTCCTCACAGGGTGTTATCACATTTTTATCTAAAAGGTGAAAAATGGAATTCATTATAGGTTGAATTTTTATTTGTTATTGTGATACTGAACGTCTTATCATACATTTGAGTTATTTGTATTTCCTTTTCTCCAAACTGTCTATTCATATCCTTTCCCCATTTTTTCTTTTGGGTTGTTGGACTTTTTTCTTACAGGTTTTGTCCTTTGTTGTAGAAATTGTATATTTTGTCTAATAGTTGTTTGTCTTTTAACACCGCTTATTGTGATTTTTGCCATGTATTTTAAAAAATCTACATAGGTGAATTTGTTGATCATTTATGGCTTATGGGTTTTGTGTCATAGAAAGGTTTTTTCTACTTTGAGTTTATACATTTTTCCGTTTTTTTCTGTGTGTAGTTTTTGTTGTTAAGTGTCATTGAAGTATAAACGTGTAAGTTCAGGTAAGTGCAAAAATAAATGTACAGCTTGTTGAATTTTCACATAAAAGTGTATAACCAGCACCTGGATGAAGAAATAGAATACTACCAGAATAATAGAACCTTCTTTGTGCCCCCCCACCAAGTACAGTGCCCCAAGGGTAACCACTTTCCTGACTTAACACCATAGATTAGTATTTGCTTATATTTTGAATTTAGGAAACCTGACTGAATGTTCTCTTTGTCTCTGGCTTCTTTAATTCAACATTGTACAGTATTTGTGAGCATTTGCTCTGTTGTAGCAAGTAGTTGTACAATAGTTGGCTTATTCTTATTGTTCTGTAATATTCCATTTTATGAATAGACTACACTTGTTTATTATCCTACTGTTGATAGACATTTGAATTGTTTTTAGGTTTAGTTTTGGGCTATTAAAAAGACTGCTGCTGTGAACACTAGGCTATGCATATGTTTGGTTTTTGTGGATACTGCCAGACTATTTTCCAAAGTGTTTATATAATTTTACACTCCCACCCACAGTGTATAAGAGTTTCATTTGTTCTTTTTTATTTTTTTGCTAATGTTTGGTATTCTCCTTTTCATTTTGGCCATTCTGGTAGTAGAATCATTTTTAATTTGCATTCTCCTGATGACTATGTGTATGGCATTTATATATTTATTGAATATTTGGGTAGTCTCTTTTCTGAGGTGCCTATTCAAGTCTTTTGTTCATTTTTCTATTGGATCATGTGCTTTTTTCCTCACTGAAGAAGTTCTCTGTAGATAATGGATATTAGTTCTTTGTCAAATATATGTATTGTAAGTATGTTCTTCTCCTTTGTTTGCCTTTTGTCTTCCTTAATAGTATCTTTTAGATAGAGGTTTCAATTTTAATGTAATATAGTTTATAAATTTTTTCCTTTGTGGTCAATAGTTTTTGTGTCTTAAAAGTTAAGAATCTTTGCCTTTCATGAAGAAACTACATATAGAGTTTATAAAATGTTTTTAAATGACAAAATAGTTTAAATTATAAAATATTTAAATATGCTGAAAAGTACAAAGAAATTATAAAATTAATATCCATTTCACTCATTTAGATTTAACATTTTGGTATTGTTGCTTCAGAATTATCTTTTAGAAATAGACAAATAACAGTGTATTTAATACAGCTAAGGTCTGTAACCCCCCATTTGCCCCTTCCTTCCCATAGCTGGCCACCATTCTTGGAGGGTATCATCCTCATATTTTCTCACTTTTCCCAGATATAAACACATCATAACACATGGTAGAATTGTTTTAAAAATCTACATAAATCATATATATACATATATATGTATATGTGTGTGTATACACATACCTGGTTTTTTTGCAGCTTGTTTATTTTACCTAAACAGTTGTAGCCACGGAGAGCTACTTCATTCATTTTAACCTATATATAGTATTCTGTAATATGAGTAGTGCAGTGCATTCATTCATTCATCTTTTATTCATTTATTTTTCTGTGTAGCTTTTTTTGGGGTGGGGGGGCGGGGTGAACAGTGTGTTTTTCCAGGACCCATCAGCTCCAATTCAAGTAGTTATTTCAATCTAGTTGTGGAGGGTGCAACTCAGTGGCCCATGTGGGGGTCAAACCAGCAACCTTGATGTTATGAGCTCTTCACTCTAACCAACTGAGCGAACCAGCCGCCCCCTCTATAGCTTTTAAATATACCATTATTTACCGTATTTTGCTGTGTGTAATGTGCACTTTTTTGCCCAAATTTGTGAGGGAAAAATAAGGATGCACATTATACATGGGTAGTACTAATTCTGTATCTATATAAATGTTTTAAATTATTTTATTTATGCTTATGAGTTAAAAGTGTAACTCTAGAAATCAATAATGATACCCATATGCAAAATAATACCCTGGAATGCGATAATCGGTTTTGTTGAACTATAACAAACTTGCAGTGACAAAGATTTCTTGGCCTTCTATGTGTAAATATCGTAAATTTGTTACCGGTACATATACACAAAATTTCTTGTACCTTGTATCTGTTATTGTGTTTTGTAATTATTTGTTACATAAAATTTCTAATACCACAATATGTTAAAAAATAAACTCTAAAATTCCTTTATAATACAAAAAACAAATACCTAAATGTAGGGGCGGCTGGTTAGCTCAGTTGGTTAGAGCGCGGTGCTCAAAACACCAAGGTTGCTGGTTTGACCCCCACATGGGCCACTGAGTTGCACCCTCCACAACTAGATTGAAATAACTACTTGACTTGGAGCTGATGGGTCCTGGAAAAACACACTGTTCCCCAATAAAATTTAAAAAAACAGAATAATCTTTAAAAAAAAACCCCTAAATGTAAACAAATAAAAATTTTAATTAAAAATTTAAAATGAAAGATTTTTTTCTCTGAAATTTTGGGCCAAAAAACGTGGGTGCACATTATACTTGGCAAAATACGGTACTTGATTATTTCTTTTGTTTTGGACATTTAGGTGTTTTGTTTGTTTTGTTTTTTTGCCAATTTTTACTATTATAAATGAAACTGAATACCTTCGGATATAAATTTTCATTAGAAAATCTTTTTTCCTTGAGAGACAGTATAGCTTAGTTGTTACAAATGTAGGCTCTGGAACCCAAGTGGCTAGGTTCAAATTCTGTTTTTTATACTACCTTTGTGATCTTGGGCTTAATTTCTTGAGCCTCAGTTTCCTTATCTATGAAATAGGGCTAATGATAGTATCTTTGAAGTAATTCGTGGGAGATTCTTAGGGAAGTGCCTATGAGTGTTAACTATTATAATTAGATTCCTGCGAGTATGGTTACTATGACAAAGAGTGTGGACATCTTTAAGCCTGTTGATATATATTGCCAGATCTTATATGATCCTTTAAATTATAATTATCCCAAAGTATGGCAGATAAAGCCTTGTTTTATGTATCTCTGAGAAATAAGATCACATAATTAGAGAAACCCCTCTTAGGAAAAATTTTATATTGGCTGAGAAAATGGACAGCTTGATTTCAACTCTTCCTTTTTGTATAAGTAGCTATAAAGAGTGTCAGTTTCAAGGAGCAAACTAGATGTGTTATTTGGTTTTTGGTATTGCTGTGGTTGTATTTGTAGCAGAGTTAACAGAGGGCAGGATTGTTTGACCTAATGATAAACTCTCTTTTTATCTTTTTCTTTTTCAGGGGAAAGAGCAGGAGCATACATTTGTCTTTAGACTGGATCATCCAAAAGCATGCAAACATTTATGGAAATGTGCTGTGGAGCATCACGCCTTCTTCCGCCTTCGAGGCCCTGTCCAAAAGAATTCTCAGCGATCAGGATTTATTCGATTAGGATCACGATTTAGATACAGGTTAATGTTAATAGCTGACTACAATATCTTCCATCCTTTCATAGAGGCCAGAAAATTTGGACCAACCCTTTTTTTTTTTTTTATAGATGTAGAAACTAGGGCACAGAGAAATAACGTGGCTTGCCAGTGTTTTCCATTGGCCACAATTAAAAAAAAAAGAAAAAGTGGTGTTATTAGTTGTAATTTCCAGAATAGACAGGAAAACATTATATTGGTATAATGGATTTTATATCCCTTTTGACATTTACTTTATATATCAATTAGCCCTCAATTTAAATCCATGTAACAAGAGTTTTGAGGACTCACCATCCAACAGCTGGATACCATATAGGAAAAGGTTATCCTGCACTGAGTGCAAAATTAACCTGTATAACATTTCTGGTCCTTTATAAATCTTAAGTTCCATTATTCTTACAAACAACGTGTTTGTTGGTTATAAGTTAGAAATGTTTTGATTTTCCTGAGACTAGATTATTGATTGTGAGTTTTAAGCATACCATGAGAATCAGTCAGTATGATTTAAAGAAGGGATTAATAATAACAATTAATGTGGCAAGATGATTGTGTGGGATTCATTAAGAGAGCTTTTATCTATATTAAAAGAGGGGAGGCATTTTCTTCAAAGAATTTAAATGAAAATCAAGAAGAGTGGGACAATAGTTTTAAGTATTTCTGGATATTTCTGAAAATTATATCACAATTAGAAAAAGCAACTGAAAATCTTGAGTTAATATTCACTTTTCATTGAGGAGTGTGAATGGAGAGGGGAAGGGAGTTCCATAAAAACACAGATATTCCAAGATTACTTAATATGTTCTTAGGTAATGTACATGCTTAAGGAAAAGCAATATAATTTTTGTGTTACACATTTCACACAAGCCTAAAGAGAGAAAGAATGATGTGGTAAAGAGAGACATCAAGACTATTAGTGGTCATAGTTCCCTCAGGATGGTTTTTTTAAGAAGAACCCCAGTATAGACTTTCTCTCATTTATGTATATCTGATTACTGTAGACCTTATATTCTCTTATTCCTGTTAATATGCCTCATTTATTTTAGTGGGAAAACTGAGTATCAGACCACAAAAACCAATAAAGCAAGAAGATCAACATCCTTTGAAAGAAGGCCCAGCAAACGATATTCTCGTCGGACTCTACAGATCAAAGGTGAAATGCAACCCTGTTTCAAAGGACTGTTCTTTCTTAACAGTTCATCGTGTGCTGGTATTGTTTACTTGAGAGGATGTTGTCTGAATCTTAAATTTATTCCAGTCAACTAAAGTACTCTTATTTATCAAATTTTGTTCTAGCATAATCAGCTTAATAACATAAAAGGGGAAAACTTGCCTGTATTGTTGCTGAGATTAAACTTTATGTTAATCCCAATTTAAATACTTTTTTGAGTTTGTGTTCAGTTTTTGTTCATATTACTTAATTCTGTTGAGCAACATTTTCCCTTCCCTTTTTGACTTTTCGATCTCATTCATAATAATCTTTAAAATCCCCTTAGAAACTTTAAAAAACATTGGTAAATAATGAATAAATTTAAAGTAAAAATTGTTTCATACAGTATTATAATATTAAGGATTCTGTGAAATAACAGTTTTTAAATTTAATCATCAATGTATATCATACATAGACATTTTCAAATTTATAAATGTTACTTGCTATTTAGGCTACTTTATGTCATAAAAAGCATGTTTTATTTCGACAGGTAAACTAAAACTTGTGTTTGGTTTCAAATCTAAGTTTGTATTAAAATACAGATTGAACTTTCAGTCTGTCCAATGCCAGAGTCATCACCAACTGTCCCAAAACAACCACCGTGACCTGATGTTTGGCAGTATCAGTTTTTCGAAAACTGATTTATATTCATAATTTTTGGTATGGCTATAAATTAAATAACACATAGCTATTAATGAAGCCATTTCAACTTGTGATTTTTTAAAACCCTAAGTTACCTCGTATTTTCCACTGACAATGTTTCATTGTCATTCCGCTCACTCTATGCTTGCAGATGATTTTGTCTTAAAAGAAGAGATGCATGCTTATTTTATTGTTTTATTTTAAAAATGGAAGTAATTTTTAAAATAAATATTGACTCTAATTATGTATACCCTAGAACGCTTTTGTGACATGAAGGTTTTTAAATCTATAGTTGGGAAACATGTCTTACAAAGTAGTTGGTCCACATAAGTTTTATGAATAGCGATGCAGTTTACCACGTAAAAGGAAACTAATGGGATATGTATTTTTTTTTTTATTTTATCAGCAAGTACAGCAAAACCTGAAGAACTCAGGTGGGTAATGTTTTGCAACTTAGGAATTGACATAGAATGTTTTAGAATTTATGTAGTTGCTGTCATTAATTAAACAAATATTTGTTGATGATCTACCACAAAGTGTTGTTCCTAAGCATTTGGGATATAGCAGGAAACAAATAAACACATAATGCTGATAAAGTTGACACAAAGAAAAATAAAGTACTTCAAATAAATAAAGAGGGCCGGCTGAGTGGCTTGTTGGTTTGGAGTTGTCTTGGGACGCCAGCTCTGAGCAGCAGGGCCCCGGTTTGGATCCCACATGAAGACCAGTGACACTGCCCTCTACAGTAAGATGGAGAACAACAGCTCGACCTGGAGCTGTGCTGCTGTGAGTCGCCGGCGATGGCGTAGGCTGCAGTGGGGCTGACCAGCAGTGGGCGTGAGCTTTCGTGAGCTGCTGTGAGCCACTGTGAGTGGCCATCCAATGGCCAGCAAGTGACTGCCTCACCTGGAAAGAGCATAATGACAGTACCAACATGGGCCAGTGAAGCGACGTCCTCCACAACTAGACTGAAGAACAAAATGACAGCAACTTGTCTGTTCCCCTTCCCCGATTCCCCA